AACAGACCCTTTTCTGTGCAAAGTCTTACTGTAGCTACGCTAACGGTCAACCTGATAGAATTGACTCATATTTTTCTATGGTTTTCGCCTGACGCTCCCTTGTCTGAGCTTGTGCGGTTGTTTTCCTGTGCTTTTTCTTCCTTCTCTGTCTCTTCCTGTTGCTTTGTTTTGCTGTCCATTGGGCACTTGTTTGGATGAAGAAACAGTTCGGAAGTAACCGCTCTGTCCTCAGCGTGGTCTTCAGACTTTGTGGAGGCATTTCCAACCCTGAGGGAGGAAATCGCCCAGTAGTGTTCACCAAAAGGAAACATAGACAGACCCCCCCCTTCCACTGAGCCATGTTAGGATCCGGCTGTAGGTCCACATTGTCCATGCACACCTGTCCTTAAGCCCATCTCCTCCTCTTTGATAAGTTGTCAAGTCTTTCCAGATGACATTTGGCTAAAAATCATGCAAAGTGTTGATCCCACCCACAGGTCTGTTGAGCAAGCTCCAGCAGCCCTGATGGGCAGCCCTGCCTCCCACCCGGGATGGCTTGTTCCCCTCCCCCGCAGACAGTGAGGTCCACGCTGTTCTCTGCCAGCCTCCTGAGATCCACTCTGGCCGGACATGCGGCTGCTGTTCCCAGTGTGCATTTCATTTTGTTGTATATAAAGAAAGGACTGCGTGTCCGTCCAGCGTTTGTGCAGACTCCCCCGCAGCACTGACCTTGTGTTGAGCTTGCATGCAGACCTCTTGGCTGGTCTGGACTCCCTAGAAGTCTTAGTTTGAAATCTATCAATCACCATCATTTCCTTCTGAGCTTGCTGACAGCCCAAATGTCAGTGCTGATTTCCAGCTTCCGGTTCTGCTGGGTGCCCTAGACGTCCTGTCCTCAGAGGAGATGTGTCCATGTTGCTTTTTGGTGTTGGGGGTCCTGGTTCCATCCACAAGAGCTTTGAAGGTCAGTCCTTGTGAGGTCCCTGGAAGGTCTGCATAGATGACCACCGTGCCAACCAGGACCAATCCAAAGTCTCATGGTGTGCGGTGCTCTCAGCAGGCGTGACTGGCTGCAGAGCCAAGGAGGTCCTAAGGGGAAGCCAGCATGGCCGCAGATCTGGCCGGAGGGAGGGACGTGGGGATGTGGCATGGTAGCGTCTGTTCATCATGGAATAAAACATTATTTTACCACTTGGATTGCTCTTTTCTTGCTTCTCTGCCACCATGTCACCTTAGAAAGTGGGCAAGAATTCCAGATGCCTTTAAATACTCATTGGCTCCCAAGACTGACCGTGAGAGCCCGGCGTGCGGCAAGTGAGAACTGCACCAGCCGTCGTAGCGGAGCCACAGAGGACAGGGTCAACCATTTTCACGCCCCAAGTCAGCCAGAAAAAGTGGGTTTCGGTTGTGTCTGCACAGGTGCAGACACACAGCTGTCCCCAAACGCCAAGTCACACGGGTTCTCAGCTGACTCCACAGCATGGCATGCTATAAAGCTCAAGAATGGCTCCATGTTGGAAATTCACCATTGGTTTTGTGGTTAATTCAAGTGTCTGGTGTAAACAGGGCCCAGCCTCGAAGCAGAGGGTTGGTGACATGGACACCATGCATCACTCAGAGACTCAGGTCTGTCAGTCACCCCCGCCAGTTTAGCTGACTCTGGCAGGCTCTCCTGATTAATCCTCAGGAGCCCAGGGGCATTTAGAAAACCAGACTAACGGGGGCATGGAGGTCTAGTGGCTCACCTAGGGCTACCCTGACCAGTCCACCTTTCTGACCATCTTCCTCGGTGGGGACTTCCCTCAGGAAAGGAGATGAAGTTTCACATCAGAAGGTGAATTTTCCCACTTTGGGACCAGAATGAGGAGACAGGCAGGACCTTGAGAGCCCACCCTGTCCACAACCTGGAACCCCCTCCAGTGCCCACTGGGAAGACCCCCTGTCTTCCCAGCTCTAGGATGGCTTTGGGAGGTGCCAGGTGTCCATGCTGGGACCCACAGCTGCGGCCACTGTGCCTCCTCACCTGGGACCTGACACCCCCCAGGCAGGCCCTCTCTGGGGGTTCAAGCTGGATATGGGTCCCACTGTTGAACGCTGTCTTTTGTTTATTTTAAATTAGTCATAAAATATTTTTTATGAAGTGGGGTTTATTTAAAAGGGGGTAACAGACTTCTCCCGCAAGGGAGAAGGGGGCCATAGCTGGTGTCATGGAATCCCAAGAGGCGAGGTGTTCTGCCCTTTTATATGTCCTGGGAGCCCTTTGTTCTGCTGCCTTTCCCCCATAAAATATTGTTATATTAAAAGTTCCACCAGCCCCAGCCCATGTGGCTCAAGCGGTAGCGCACTCACCCGGCATGCGTGCGGCCGGGGTTCGATCCTCAGCACCACATACAAACAAAGATGTTGTGTCCGCCGATAACTAAAAAATAAATATTAAAAAAAAAAAAAAGTTCCACCAGGCTGCTGAGGGGGCCCCGGAGCACCCCAGGCTCCTCGGTGCCCAGTGCAGGGACCCCATCCTGACTCCTGCATTCCCGGGACTTGGGCCAGCATGTTCACAAAGGTGTGCTGGGGGGCCTCTGTCCCCACTAGCCTGAGACGTGCCCTCCCCCTCCTGCCTGGCCCATAAGCTCCAGGAGCCATGATTTTGTTAAGGGACAGTTTTGCCTTCAGCAAGGCCCTAATTTAAAACTCCAGTGCCTAAGAGAGCCCAGGAGGACACTCTCGGACAGACCCCCCAGCCTTCCTCCTCAGCATGTGGCATCGGTCCTCTGGTCATCACAAAAGGAGAGACGGGAGCCTGGCCAGGGACTGGACATACAATGGACAACGGCTAGACCACGATGCTCAATGGAGCTCTACCTACCCTGGCCTGGACCCAGCCAGAGCCTGCAGCAATCAGCCCGCCACAGCCAGGACTTGGTAGGAAACTGACAGCCTCCCGGGCTCTGGGGCCTGCTCTCAATGTAGGACAACTAGACCCAAATACAGACCCCCAGCCAACCTCCCAACAGGCCCTGCCCCCAGCCTCCCGGCCACCTCCACCAGGGCACGCCAGGGCCCTGCTCCCACCCCGAGGCTGGCCCACTCCTCTGCCTGCCTAGAGGCTCTGCCCAGTGCTGGACAGTGGTGCTGGTGGCTCCCTTGCTGTAGCAGGCCCTGCACAAGTGGCTTTCCTGCACTCCCTGCGCTGGTGTCCCCAGTTCTGCTGCCTTAGAACAGCTCAGACGGTGCTTCCACAGGAATCCATTCCTTACAGTTCGGAGATGGTCACTCCCTGGTGAGGGTTCTGCTCCAGGTTTGCAGATGGGTGACAGCTGTTATGTCCTTGGGTGACAGGGAGAGAGGGCAGGGGCAGGGGAGAGTACACACAGCTCAGCCTCTCTTCTCGAGGACACTTCTCCCCATGGGGACCCTCCACCTGTAATATATAATGCTTCTGTCAATACTTGATCCCATTCTTACTCTTCTCCTTCTTGGGTGCAGGCTGGAAACAGGATCCATCTTTGGGTATGTTTCCTATATGCTCTTCTGTATGTTTATTCTTGCACACATCTGTTCTTCATTTTGGATATTTTCTTCTGACCTAACTTCTGATTTACAAATTATCTCTTTCACAGTGTCTAATTGTTAAATTGTTAAATTTATCACTAAATTCTTAATTCTTAATTTCACTTTTCAGTTCTAGATTTTTTAAATTCTTTTATATATTCTCCAACTCTCATCGTTTGTTGTTCTTGAACACAGTTTAGATTTTTAACCAGTTGATTTAGAGCAGGGGGCAATGCTAGGATCAAACCCATGGCCTTGTGCATGCTAGGCAAGCACTCTACCACTGAGCAACACATCCCAGGCTAAGTTTTTATCATCATCATCATCATCATCATCATCATCATCTTAATTGTAAATGGACACAGGACCTTTATTTTGTTCATTTATTTTTATGTGGTGCTGAGAATCAAACCCACTGCCTCACACATGCTAGGCAAGCATTTAATCCCTGAGCTATAGCCCCAGCCTCCCAGCCTAGGTTTTTAATGTTTAAATTCTCATAATTGAACCTTCTGTGGGTATAGAGAACATTATTTTTGCTTTTGGCAGAGAGTAAGGAGAGGGACACAGTCACCTTTAACTAATGCAGGGTGGGACTGGGAGCTGCCTGTCAGGCACCTGAGATGCAGGCCTTTGGCCCCAGCAGGACTCTGTGGTGTTGGAGTCCCAGGAGTGGCTGAGCGCTGGGGTCTGCAGGTGTGCAGGCCATAGGGTCGCGCCTGGGTTTGAGCTCTGGCTCCTCAGGCTCTGTGCTGCTCATCCTCACGGTAGTGTCAGATTCTGCAGCTATACAGCAGGAGCAGTGCTCACCTATAGGTCATCCTGAGAAGGGTTGTGAAGGTCCTTTCGTGGTGCTGGTGCATAGTGGGCACCCGAATGTGTACCCAAGAGAGATGAAACCTTGTGTCCACAAGAAACCTAGAATGAATGTTCATAGCAGCAGTCTTCTTAATTGCCTTAAGTGGAAATAGCCTGAATGCCCCTCCACACATAAAGGGGTACACAAAAAGTGTGATGTCCATGCAATGGAATATTACTTGTCCATAAAAAGGAATGAAGTACTGACACATGGTTCAGTGTTCATGAACTGTGCAAAAAGGCAGACCCAAGCAGCAAGTGTTGTATGGCTCCATGATGCAAAGTGCATGGGACAGGAGACTCCAGCGAGGCAGGAAATGTGTTGTGTCCGTGGGTGGCAGCCAGGAATGAGGCAGGGTTGTTGCTGCACAGGGTTTCTTGGGAAGTGAGTTGTTCTAAGGTTAGTGGGATGGCCACATGGTTCTGAATAATCTAGAAGTGTGTGCAGTGTTGGTGACTGTAAAGAATGGGTGTTATGGGGGGCTGGGGCTGGGGCTCAGTGGTAGAGTGCTTGCCTAGCACGTGTGAGGCTCCAAGTTCGATTCTCAGCACTGCATAGAATAAAGTGAAGGTCCATTGAAAACTAAAAAATATTTGGAAAAAAAAAGGATGAATGTTACAGTGTGAATTACATGGCTTTTATTTTTTAAAACTGTTTACTAGTTAATGTGATTCACTGATTCTGACCAATTGCTCTTTCCTTCCTCCATTATTCAGGAAGAAAGGCGAAGATTAAAAAATGCAATAATTATTCAGTCATTTATTCGAGGCTACAGAGACAGAAAACAGCAAGTAAGTTTATTTGTAAAACACAAATATTAGAAGGATCTGCAAGAGCTTATTTTAAATATTGCCTTATTATAAGTATCATCTTTTATGTATTTTTTTTCTACCTGAAAGTTAACGTTAATGGTAGTAGTATTTTTTCTTAATAAATAGTTGTATTAGTTATATTTGTACAAAGATTTATAGACAAGTGAATTTTTAGGTGATTTTTAAGTAGTAAAATACAAACCACAACTAATAATCACAATAGAATAAAGGTACTTGTAGTGGGCATCCAGGGTCTTGATGCGAGTCCAAGGTCTTGATGCTTTGTCGCACCTTTTACACAGCCTTCTGACAGCGACTCGGTCGTCTGAGGGTTTCCACCAACCCCTGAGCACATCTGCCTAGGTGTGGAGAGTTCTGCTTCTGAATTCATGCTTACGTGTTGCTCCTTCCTTTCAGTATTCCCTCCAGAGAAGTGCATTCGATCGCTGCGCACACTCGGCACAGTCTGGTGGCACTTTCTCCATCACTAGTGCCCCCAATCTTACCCTCCTGGTAAGGCAGCTTCTGTTTTTTTACAAACAAAGCGAAGATGCAAAACGATTGGTGAGTGTTTGCTATATTTTCGCTTGTCTTGGTGTATGTATTTGGGGGCTTTGTGGTTTTTTTTTCCTTAACATGTACATGGTGAGTATCTGATCAAGAATCAGGTCTTGTCAGGATCTGGTGACTCAGGCCTGGAATCCTAGCAACTTAGGAGGCTGGAGCAGGAGGACCTCAAGTTCAAAGCCAGCTCAGCAACTTAGCAGGACCCTGTATTTAAGTAAATAAATAAATTAAAAGGCCTGGAAATGTGGCTCAGTGGTAAAGTGCCCCTGAGTTCAATCCCTGTACTACAAAAAAAAGAGGTAGAACTAGCCAGATCCTCTTCAGGGTACCTGAGCCCTCATGGACTTTCCTCAACCAATTCTAGTAGGTCACCTGTGGTGATGTATTTTACTTCTTAAAATCTAGTATACATCTTAATAGGCTTCTCATTTTTTTTGTTTTTGTTGTTATAGAAAATTTCAAATATTAAAAAAAGTATAGGGGCTGGGGTTGTGGCTTAGCGGTACAGTGCTCGCCTAGCATGTGCAAGGCCCTCAGTTCAATCCTCAGCACCATATATAAATAAATAAAATAAAGGTATTGTGTCCAACTACAATTAAAAAATTTTTAAAAAAAAGTATATCATGTGGACTCCCTCCAGTGTGCCCCACCTACTGCACAGTCAGCAGCAAGCTCTTCAGACATAGCCCTCCACACCTCTGCCTCAGCTCACTGTGACCATCTCTCTATCACATCATGTTCATCTGTATTTACAACAGCAACCTCCAGAATATATGGTCTCTAATTTATTTACCCAGGGCCTCCCACATCCAGGCAAGCTGTGCCACTGAGCTACACCTCAGCCCTGGACTCTTTCTTTTTTTTTAAAAACATCTGAAACACAAATGTATTTCTCTAAAAAATTTCATGGGCTTTTGCTATGGTTAGGAGAACCAGTGTGCATTAATTGTGGAAAATACATATAAATCCATCGATGAATAACCTTTTAAAAGGGGGGGGGGCGGATTTTAATCATTCATTTTCTAGCACATATAAAAACATTTGTATGTGATTGTTAAGTGTATGTTTATGCTTAGAGATTATTATTTGTCTGTGCCATGCAGGGTGGTGTGCAACTGTAATGTGTGCACCTTGGCAACTTAGGAGGCTGAGCAGAAGGATCGCAAGTTCAAAGCTAGCCTCACCAGTTTAGTGAGACCTTGCTCAGTGGCTGAGCACCCCTAGGTTCAATCCCTGGTACCAACCAACAAACAAATTATTATCTGTCTATAATAGAAATTCCAAGTTATATTAAAAGGTGGGTCCGCAGTGTACAGAAAAAACATTTTCTGCACTACAAACTATGCATGCTAGAAAGATCCCCATGTGAAATAAACATAGACGGCTACAGAGGTCTCGGATAGAGCTTGGCCTGAAGCCCACCCAGCTGCCTGAGCTGAGCAGGTGGGACTGGGCATGGAAAGAGCTCTCTGTGACAGGAGCCCATCTGCAGCAGCCCAGCCTCAGTTCATTCACCTTAGACGTTGTTAGTAGCAAGCTTTTCAAAGGCTTCCTTCCTGTCTGCAGTTTGTGAGACAAGGGAGGGGACTGAGGGCAGGCAGTCTGACTCTCCAGACAGGGCTGACCTAGGAGCAGACACCCAGGTGCTAGATGTGACTTGAGGTTCTCTCCAGAGCACTATTTCTTTGTGTGTGTAAGATCTAGTCTGCAGTCCCCATGTGGTTTCTAAATGTGAGCCGGCACAGACCTGCAGCCAGAGAAAACTTGGAAGTAAATGTGCACCTTAACACCAGGCTTCAGGCACGTATGCACAAACCTGTAGCTCATATGCAGATCCTGTAATGCTAAGTGCAGTGTCACCAAACCTGGTTCATACAGTAAAAGTAAACTTGAGTGTTTTCTATTTAATTTGCTAACAAAAACGCAAGAGCTTCCATCAGGAAAACGTCCCCTGTCCCTTTTAGTTCCCTAATTCCCACTCCTAAGATCAAGTGTGGGGCCTCCTTTGATAGTTTTTCAAAGCTACTTGATGCAAAAAAGTAAATAGGCTCCCCATTCTCACCTCCTCTCTTAATTTATTTTTTTTAGAATCATGACTTAAAATAGTTCTGTTGAGTTAGTGTGCTGTAATCCTGCATTTTTTGGTGTACAGTTCACCTGCTTCTCAGTTGCTTGGTTCTGATTCCCTTGGTCCAGCCTTTCTCCACCTCCAGAAGTTGCATCTCCAGGGCACCAGCACTGGGCCTGTCGTGTGCTCTGCCTGCCTGGCATCATCCTGGGAGAGCCTTTGCTTTGCCTCCGTTTTATACCATCTTTGCCTGGCTCCTCCACATCTTCGGGCCTCCTTGGTTCACTTCTTTAGAGCCTTACGATGGAGAGCCTTAGTTGAGTAGCTGGGGACACAGCCCATTGGTAGTGTTGCCCCGCACGCAAGGCCCTGAGTTTAACCCCCAGTGTGTGTGCACACAAAAGAGAGCCTCAGTTGACCCTTGAGACAGGATGCGGAGGAGACGGTTTTTAAAACTTTGCCCATTTGCCTTTACTACATGAAAACAACAAAATGTCAAACAATTCAGTTTGCCATGGTGTGGCTTTCTGGATAATAACAGTATGTCTGTCAAGATGGTGAAATTCATACAAAACTTTTCTAGAAACTGGTCAAGTGTAGTGTAGTATAGTATCACTATTGTTTTGAGGTTTCTTTCTTTCTTTCTTTCTTTTTTAGTTGTCAATGGACATTTTTTCATTTTTATATGTGGTGCTTGAGAATTGAACCCAGTGCCTCCCACATGGCTAGGCAAATGCTCTACCACTGAGCCATGACCCCAGCCCCACTTTGGGTGTTGTTGTTGTTGTTGTTGTTGTTTTGTTTTGTTTTTTTACCCCCTCAATGTCAGACATGACTAGCTGATTAACAGATGAGATACCTGATTCCTACAGTTTCTATGATTGTCCATCTGTCATTTTTATGATGTTATACTTTCTGTATATCTTTTTTAAAAATTTTTTTTAGTTGTAGATGGACAGTATTTTTGTTTATTTATTTTTATGTGGTGCTGATGATCGAACCCAGGGCCTCATGCATGTGAGCACTTCACTGAGCTACAACCCCAGCCTCTTGCTGTACATCTTATTTTAACTTGTTAATAGGTATTGCAAAATTTAAGATGAACTATGTGGGGATATGTGGGAAGTATTTGGATCTTGTTGGCGCTTCAGGGTTATACATGTGTAGTCAGCTCACACAGATGCAGAGCAGGTCAGTTATTTCCCTCCAACTTAGGACAGGCTCTAATTTGTTTTGCATAGTGTTCTTCTGTTATTTATAGTGTCTAATTGCATTTTATTTCAAACAAGCATTAACGTGAAAGTAGAAACTATTTGTGACACATTCATAACTAGCCACATTTAGGAAGCCATCTTTTAATTCCAGCTGGTTGTAAATGGATCTTAGGAATAGAAAAAAATAAAATAGCTCACTTCACAAGAGTATCCTAGAGGAAGTAGAGGGGATTCTTCCTAAGTATTGTGCTTTCAGATCACTTATAGCAGCTTTGTGCAAACTGACAGATACAACTATCTTCCAGAAAGTATTTCTTGCAAAAATTCCCTGGGATTATCTTGTGAAGTACAAGGGACAGAATCCAGTTCCCCTGCTGAACTCATCCACCAGTCACATTCCATTCCTATCATATACCTGGTCTTTTGTTGGGAAGCATGGAGCCGTATGCTTGTCTTCTGCTAAGGAACAGAAGCATTCAGAAGAACCAGGGTGCTGAGGCAACTGCACATGCACACGCACACATGCAGGTGTGTGCCAAAGGGGAGAGGTAAAAAAGACAGATGTGTGGCTGGGGTCATGGCTCAGCGGTAGTGAACTTGCTTGGCACATGTGAAGCACTGGGTTCAATTCTCAGCACCACATAAAAATAAATAAAATAAAGGTCTATCAACAACTAAAAAGATATTTGAAAAGAAAAGAAACAACTGTCTCTTGTAACTTCAGGGTCTGCTGTATTTCTCTTGTATTTTTCAATGATGCTTGCTGATTTTTGCAAATGAACTGATTTGACATGGACATGAGCTTTAAGTGCACTTTTTTTGAGTAACATTTTTATTAATTTAGCCTTACCATGGATGTATTATTTAAAGGTGGAAAGTGCAAGTACCAAAAGCAAAGCCAGACTCAGGAACCTTACTTATCAGGTTTTGATTAGGTCTAAGTGTGTATTGCTACTATGTAAATTGGCAAACATTTAAATTTTATGGATTGAGAATTACGTTTTGTGTATTTTATTATTCTAGATATGGCTGTATCAGAACTTAATTAAACACAGCTCCCTGTTTGTCAAGCAACTAGACGGATCTGAGAGACCGACATGCTTATTTCAGATAAAGAGGCTCATGAGCCTCTGTTGCAGGTAAACTGTCCCTGTCAGCAACCTGACCAGCGCTGGGCACCTTAAATTTGATTTTCGTTTTCTAAGACAGTGGCTTTTCCATGTTTTTGTTTTATTTTGGATGGAAGGACTTTGGAATAGTCTATGTATTGCTCTAGGTAATTCTGGCCTGTAAGACTTAGAAGTTAAAACACAGATACAACTATCTTCCAGAAAGTATTTCTTGCAAAAATTCCCTGGGATTATCTTGTGAAGTGCTAAGCCTTTGAGTTGCCAGTGAATGGACTGGCCAACTCAGAGGATTCCTGGTAGGAGGTGATTCCTTTCTGTAAGGGTTTCTACCACATTCAGTTTGGAAGCCACCTCTTGAGAAATGGGCTTCATCAGGCTCTCTCATTTATGAATGAACTCAGTAGGTTTGGGGATTACCAGACAAAGGTGTGGACTTGCCTTTTCTCTTTGAAGAGCTGGAAAATGAGAAAGAAGTAGAGCTACTGATTTACGAGATCACTCGTCTCCTTGTCTATAAAAGTGAGTGACTTATGGGTTGAGTGTATGGCTCAGTGGTAGCATGTACTCAGTGAGCACAGGCCCTGGGCTGGACCCCAGGGTCAGTACAGTGCTGAAGGTCAGAGGACCTGGACTTGGTACTGCCCTGTGACTGTCTTGCTTGGCATTGGAGTCACTGGATCCACTGTTAATTGTAAACTGACGAGGTGGGGGGTGGGGCCTGCCTCCTGGGACTTCCGTCTCCACTGCATGGCGAGATGATGGGAGTGCTCTCTTCGTGGCCCGTTCTTGGTCTCCTCCAGCCTCAGAAGATACTTCACACACTCATGTTCCAGATGTCACCATGGGCTGTTAGTATCTCTAGATTGGCATCTTGTACAAATTCTAAAAATGCAGGTTTTCTGTGTCAATTTCATGTGATACTAACATTCAGCTTGTAAGTAGCTACTTATCCACTTAAATTAGTAAATTTATTTTGAAAATAAAAATTGATTTTTCAAAGCTAATGAATATTTTACCTTATTTACATTTCTTTTTACATCAGTCTCTACTGGTAACAACATTAGGGTTGGCTGTCAGTCCTGTATTAAAAAGAATTTAGGAGGGCATTGGTGGCACATGCCTGTTAGCACTGCAGTTTGGGAGGCTGAAGAAGGAGGATTGCAAGTTCAAGGCCAGCCTCAGCAACTTAGACCCTTAGCCACTTAGTGAGATCCTGCCTCAAATAAGAAAAGGGGGGACTGGGGATGTGGCTCAGTGGTTAGGTGCCCTGGTTTATTCCCTGGTGCCCAAAAAAAGGACTGATGGAGTTTCTGCAAGGTGGCAGGCAGGGTTTTTAGCACTGAAGGTCCAGCTGTGGCAAGCTGGGGGTTCTTGCTCTTCTTGGTTTTATCTAATCTATAAATAAGTAAAATAGAGGTGTTTTTATACAAAAAGATAGATGAGTTGTGGGAGGCTAAGGAGGAGGAGAGGAGCTGTGAACTTTGGGGTGGCCTTTCTGGACGGTCTGGGAGAAAGGTGCCTTGGAGGCCACGGTGGCTGGGGCCGTGCATGTCCCTGCTCTGGGGCGGGAGCCAGCACAGAGCCTGCGGGTCTCGGGTGTTCTGGAGGACGTGGGCTGTATGCTGGAGCACAGAGGAGCCGGGAGCTAGAGCAAGGTGAGGTAACTCATTCTGTCTCCTTGAAGGTTTTTATTAGGGTAAAGAATGGCATACTAAGCACTCGCTGCCGCCTCCCAGCGCTGCCTTGCCGACACTCCTGCAGACCACAGTGTCATGATTGACGGGTGAAAGTGATGCGAGAGGCCAGGAGTCTGGTCTGGCAGTTCTGGCAGTCCCACGCCTCCACCCAGGATGGGCACCCAGCCTGTTGGGTCACCATCACAATGTGCTTTCCCTCTCTTTTAAAAATAATCTAGGTGACCACACAGTACCCGTGTTGTCTCCTGAACACCCCCTCCCCAGCCTCCAGTGTGCTTCGCCGGAAACACCGCTATTGTTGGAGTGAGTGCAGCAGAGGGAGGGCACAGGCAGACCACCAGGAGGCGACTGCCAAGGGTGACCCAGCCCGGTGCCGGCAGAACAGACTAGGGCTCAGTTAAGTAGAGCCTGCCAGCACTGGATGGATGCAAGGCCTCCGTTTCAGCAACTAGAAGGCTGTGATGGTTTTGAAGGTGAGGGAGTTATAAAGCTGCACAGGACTGAGCGGACCGTTTAGAAGAGAAAAAGAGGCCTCTGAGCACGCCCCACCATAGGAAGCTTGAGAGGAGGGGGCCCCAGCCAGGTAGGAGGCTGCTGGTCAGAGTTGATGGCTGAGCCTAGACTGTCAGGTGATACCAGTTTCCCCAAGAAGAAATCAGATTCTCCAAGGAATGTGTCCTTCCTCAGTGAGGGGACCAGTGACATTGATTGAACGAGCATTCATCTCAGGGGCATTTGTATCTGTGTATAGCTCTGAGTGGGGGCATGGGCTCAACTGTGTTTCCTGTGAGTCCGCTTCTGTCTTGGGGTTGAGGAGCACCCTGGGATGAGCTGGGCAGGACGCCCCGTGGCTTGCTTTTGGCCTGCAGTCTTCGCCTCCCCTCACAGTGCCGCTGGCCTGGAGAGCAGTGAAGGGCTGGGGTGGGGCTGGTGCGGGGAGGCGGTGGCGTTAGTAAGGCTTTGCAGGGTCCAGCGTGCAGTTCATAGAGAGCAATGGCATTGGCAGCGTGCTTGTTGAGGAGGGAACCTTGACGGTACAGAGGGAAAGACGCTGGGACAGTGCCTCTGAGCAGGAGAGGACAGGGCATGGCTCCAGAGTCGCAGAGTGTGGCTTTGGAAAGGGGAAAAAGACAGTTTACCTTATTGTCAAGAGGCAGACAAACCCCCTTTTAAAAACAGCAAGATGCAAGCAGACACTTGGCTAATATTTTATGTGCCATTTCATGGCACATGAAAATGCCATGATTGGTGTTCAGGGAGGTAGGTCTCAGTGACGTACAAATGCACGCGAGGACGGCCTGCAGTACCAGGGGTTCAGATGCAGAGCAGTGGGGACCTGCATTGCTTCTGTAGAGGTTCAGTGGTTTCTTTCAAAGTTAAGTGTACAGCTTCTCTGAGCCCTGGATTACCAAGAGAGGTGAGGCCCAGTCCCTCGGGTGTGCCCCAAGTGTTAACAGCAGCTTCCCTTGGGAGACAGGTGTCCATCCTGTGAGTGTCCTCCACCATGCTCTTCCCATCAGTAGACCAGTGCGTGGCGGGTGCAAGGACCAGCTCAGGAGGTGCCACTGGGAGGTGCGGCTCTTTCCATGGGGAATAGCAGGAAGTGCAGGCTCATTTGTAGGCACAGAGAGAAGCTGGAGGGAGGGTGTTCTGGAGGCACTGAAAGCACCTTTTGGAGGCTGTGTGTGCAGTCTGTCCAGTGCAAGGTGCGGCCCCCTTAGATGGGTGCAGAGTAGTGTGGATAAATCATGTCTCCATAAAGTTGTGTTTTTTTTTTTTTTAAGGCATTAAATCTTTTTTCAAATAAGACTCACTTTTGTGACAGCAGAACTTGTCCTTCTGCCTGTAACTCTTCTCCTCATAAGAAGGAAGGTCGGGGTAGGTGGCACAGGGCCAGAAAGTGCTCTCTGGGCCACAGGGGTCCCACAGGCACCTTTGCAGGAGAAGCCACTGCTCTCAGAAAGAGGCCCACCCCCAGTCTCTGGAGACAGCTCCTGTTGGCCCAGTCAGTGGGTTGTGATGCTTCTCCTGCTGTGTTGCATTCTGTCCACTTGCTCTCATCTGAACAAGAGTATGGCAAGTTGGAGGTCAGCCTGGGCAACTTAGCCAGACCCTTTCTCAAAAACCTCAATATGTTGGGGTGTGGCTCAGTAGTAATGTGCTCCAGTTTCAATCCGCAGCACCAAAAACAAAGTCTGAATGTTTGCTTACTTTTTGTCTGAGTCTTGCTGTCTTCAGAGATCTCTGGCACTCAACAGAGTGTCCCAGCTGCTCACTCACAGCCAATGAGAGGAATTGGGGAGAACTCTGGTGACATTAGCCACCCCGTAAGTATGTGAATGCTTTTTTTCATTTTTACAGGTTGCTGCAGAGCTGTAATGATGACAGTTTGAATGTTGCACTTCCAATGCGAATGCTTGAGGTCTTTTCCTCTGAGAATACTTACTTGCCTGTTTTACAAGATGCTAGCTATGTGGTGTCCGTAATTGAACAGATCTTGCACTACATGATCCACAGTGGTAAGCAGCGGGGTCAGGCCTGTGGGTGGTGTACATGACCTGCCTGCTTCTGGGGGCACGTGCTTTTGCAGGAGGGCTGCAGCCGCCGCCACTCCAGAACCCATGCTCAGCCCCACTCTGAAAACTTGGGGCCATGCTGGCTCTCTGTGCTGACATTTTTTGGCTTAGAAATGTGGAAGGGCAGCATCTGCTTTCAGAAATTGCCCCAGGCCCCTGAACCCAGGGTCTGTGTCCTCACTGGGAGCCGCTATTCCTCAGAACTGAGCAGGCGCCCTGTTGCTCCCCTCATCCTGAGCGGTGGGAGCCCAGGGCAGCTGGCTGAGGGCCTGCGGCACTGAGGAGATGGCCTGCCCAGGCTGTCCTTGTCAGGGGATGCTGCGCTCTCACACGGCTGGTAGAAGGGAGTGGGGCAGTTCGTCTGAATTTCCTCTGACTCGGTGTTAACACTGATAACTGTTCTTAAAGTGCATTACATAAAGTAGAATAACTGTCTATGAAATTCCTCCAAGGACATTATTAACAACACGGTTTTGGAGAAAACTATGATAATAAATAATATTCTAAATACTTGTGAATTAAGCCATAGTCTGAAATTAAGAAAACCTCAACCCACTGTCCTCACAGGTAGAAAGCCCAGCACATTAGGACTCCTGGGCTTAGAAGCCTGAGTCGGCACTAAAGTAGACTGCATTAGTCAGCAGAGGAGCTCAGGAGGTGCTGGTGAGCCACGCCATGATGGAGGCTGACAGCTCTGCGTCTCTTCTCCTGAAGTGCTGCGATCCTCTGGTGAACCACGGGGAAGGCTGAATTGTATTCTGATGTCCAGCCTCACCGTTTGGCTTGGGTTCCCCCCCCCACACACACACACATTAAAAACGTAGAGAAGCTACTGAGTTAATTAAAGATAAATTGGAATTTGTGGAATTTGATTTTTTAAAAATTGTTAGAAGTGGTGCTTGTATGAATTGATATATTGTTATATATGTCAACTAAAGGATAAGCATTCAGTGAGCATTTTAGTTTTCCTGTTTTCTGAAAGTATAGGGGAGATAACCTAGAAATATATACTATTTGAAATGTGTCTAAAAATAGGAAATGCTTGAACATCTTCTACTGCGACTGCCACCTCTGGCGTCCTCTTGGGTGGCTGCTGTGTTACTTTTAACAAGGTGCTTCCTGGCTGACCTCTCTGTGCAGCTTGAGCCTCCCACTTAGTAACCACAGCTGGTGTTCTGATGTATGTCGTGTGCTTCTGTGCACTGAGAGCTTTGCACTCTGGTCGTGCCGTAGGTCATCTGATCAGAACACACCTGGCAGTGTTAAAGTCCTGCTGTGTTTTCTTTAAAAGAAATTCTTATGTATTTGTGTCTTTTAAGTTTTACAGCAAATGAGCTTTTAGGCTTCCCTTTGATGTCACTAGTAGTCAGCGTCCGCCAGGTTAGAGTCAGGATGGTCATGCCGCAGGTCTGAGTTCAGCACCGAGTTCAGTAGTGGGAGCTCAGTGTGAGGCTGTGTAAGACTCCTGCTGAAAAGTGGCCAGGCGGGCGCGTGGCGTGCCTTTCCTCTGTGCTGTCAGACAGGCCTGGGCAGCCAGGAGGTGCTCACAGCCATGCCAGCACGTTGCCCTTGGTGTTGGACAAGAACAGGGCAGCTCTTTCTTAAAGGTGATGTGGCTAGAACCCTGGTTTTCGCGCACAACCAGAAATACGTCAGGTGCATAGGAAGGCAAATTTGGGAGTAATCCCAACAGTTACTTGTGCTTAAGTGTAAGTGGCCTGTAAATCGGCTCACTTCCTTGGTACCTGGTTTGTGGTCTCCATAAGTATCATTTCCTCTAAAAAAATCTTACTAGGCCCTGGAGATGAGGTAGATTGCTGGTCTCCCATGGGGTGAGGGAAGTGGGATGGGAGCATCCTGTCCATTACAGAGCAGGGTGCTCCTGATGGCCACAGGACAGTTGGAGGGTCCCTGAGGGTAACAACTATAGTAGGTTGAGGCATAGCAATTAACCCAGGAGCTCAGCATGACGCTAAGGACCCTAACTAACTAGGCACCAGGGCGCTTAGGAGACAGTTCAGAGCATCAGCCTTATTAGGACCTAGATTCAAGAAACTAGTCAAGCAAAATGCATCACATGAGACAGTGGGAGACTAGATCACTAGCTAGGTGATTGCAGTATCAAGGGGGCTGCAACGATGGGGGCACGTGCGGGGCGGGGCCGCGGGCGCACCTGCCAGGCAAACGCCGCGTTGGAGAATCAATTTTGGTTTTTTGTTTGTTTTTTTGCCCTTCTCAATGCATCTGTAATTTGTGTAATTTGGAAAACCCCTGAAGCACTGAATCCCCTGCACGGTGGGGGTCGTCCGGCAGGCTGGAGCCCCCCCCCCCCCCACGCAGAGGACTGGGTTAGAACTGCGGGGCGAGGCAGGCGGGCGGGGCCGCGGGCGCACCTGCCAGGCAACGGCGTTGGAGGTGCCTGCGGCTGTGACGCGTCTGGACTCCCGCCTCACTCTGTGTTTCCGTGGAGACGAAGATGGCGGTGGCGACCGCTGGACTCGTGTGGACGAGGACGATTCGCCAGTGATGGCAGCGACTGTTTTTGTTCCGGGGGGGGGGGGGTCCCACCTGGGTCTGAACCGATTTTTCCTTCCTACCCGCGACCCCCTCCCCGTTCTTTCCCTGCCTACCCCGCAGAAGCCGTGGAGGACGAAGAAAGAAGGAGAAAGATCGAAATTGGCAGGGCGAAGGTAGGAGAGCCGGGGACCGCCGGGCCAGAGGTGGGAGGCGGTGGCCGGAAAGGGTGGGAGGAGGCCTGGGGAGCGAGTTTGCTGCAGCCGGGTGCGCGGGCCTCGGAGGGAGGTGCTGCAGGGTCGGGGTTTCCTCCCCTCCCTCCCGTCCCTTTTCCCAGGACGTGTAAAGCCCGGTGCTGCCACCTAGCTGACGAGACTTGGGTGGTGATTGAATGGTGCGGCTCTTTTCTCACGGCTGCCCCAATAAAACACCTCTCTCTCTTTCTTTCTTTAAACCGTATTGATGATTAGGTGGTAATTAATAGCCTTTAAACCTTCAGCCCTTCACTTTTTTTTTCTTTTTTTTTAATATTTTTAATTTTTTGTTGTGGGTTGTTCAAAACATTACAAATTTCTTGACATATCATATTCCACACTTTGATTCAAGTGGGTTATGAACTCCCACCTTCACCCCATACACAGATTGCAGAATCACATCAGTTACACATCCGTTGATTTACATATTGCCATACTAGTGTCTGTTGTGCTCCGCTGCCTTTCCCATCCTCCCACCTCTCCCCTCCCCTCCCCTCCTCTCTCTCTACCCCCTCCACTGTATAACCCTGAGGGTCTCCTTCCATTACCATGCAATTTCCCTTCTCTCTCCCTTTCCCTCCCACCTCTCATCCCTGTTAAATGTTAATCTTCTTCTCCTGCTCTTCGTCCCTACTCTGATCTTAGTTACTCTCCTTATATCAAAGAATACATTTGGTATTTGTTTTTTAGGGATTGGCTAGCTTCACTTAGCATAATCTGCTCTAATGCCATCCATTTCCCTGTAAATTCTATGATTTTGTCGCTGGCGAGGATGTGGGGAAAAGGGTACACTTGTTCATTGCTGGTGGGACTGCAAATTGGTGCAGCCAATTTGGAAAGCAGTATGGAGATTTCTTGGAAAGCTGGGAATGGAGCCACCATTTGACCCAGCTATTCCCCTTCTTGGTCTATTCCCTAAAGACCTAAAAAGAGCATGCTACAGGGACACTGCTACATCGATGTTCATAGCAGCACAGTTCACAATAGCAAGACCGTGGAACCAACCTAGATGCCCTTCAATAGACAGCCCTTCACTTTTAAAGGGAGTTTTATGGGTGGTGCAGGCATTGTGTTTTCCAGGGCGGGGATTTAGAGCTTTCCTTTTATTCAGTGGGGAATTTGTGTGCTGATCATCAGCTGGTCTTCCTTAGGTGGCACGCTGGCACTCGAGGACGTGTGTGAGATTGGCCTGTGACAGCTGCCTCAGCAGTGGCCTGAGTGTGCCACAAGTGCCTGCTGTGAACTTGGCTTTAGGGGCGTTTTTAAAAGCGTGTCTTTGTACGTTCCTGTTTGGAGGTCTTTGTCATGGCAGTTGGTTTTGTATCCTGTGGATTGGAAGTTCTGAAGACGGAAAGATTCCACAGAACAAAGCTTTAGAATTCCTGCTTTAATTAATTTTTTTTACGTGTGTGTGTGTGTGTGTGTGTAGTGAAGTTCTGATTTTATGTGTGTGTGCGTGTGTATATGTATGGAAACTGTAACGCAAACATTACAAAATTGTATTATGCATAGATATCCTTCTTGGGGCATCATGAAAAATTTAACGTAGACAAAATATAAATTGAATAGCATTTAAAAAAAATTACATATTTGAGCAGCTCTTTAGGCTTGCCTGAAAGGCCCCCTTCCTCCCTACAATGAGTTACTTTTTATAGGTGATATTCTTTTTAGAGCTAATGGATAACTATCATACTTGAAACACAATTAACTATTTTTCCTCTCTTCCTTTTTTTTCTTCATTCTTCCATATAAACAAAGGAAACCAGGTCAATGGTTTCAGTAATCAATGAAAGAAAGGCCTTACTGCAGAGATGCAATAGTAGATGTTCATCAGAAGTGTGTTAAAGGAATGTGTATGTTAACCAGCTTCATATTTCTAAAATATAATTGACTTTTTTATAATCTCCCCCCTTTAATGTTAAGACTTAAATGCTTGTATGTAAACAGGTAGATTTTTTTTTTACTCTAGAATATATAAATGAAGGAACATTGGCATTTTCAGAAGCCCAAAATTGCTTACAGTTGTGCAACCCAAGGGACTAAGCAAACACTCTGCATCTAAGGAATTGAAAGTAATTTTGTGTACCTTTTCAAAAGCATGGAACTTCTGGTTAGATTTCTTATTTGTTACCTAAGAATGTTTACTGCCTTCTACCAAATGTATCTTTCTTGCTGTAAGTAGATTTTGCAAAGTAGAATTTTGATTTCTTTATGTATATATTTCTTTATCTTTCAAAAGTCTACCTATGGGGTAAAAATCTTTTAAAGTTAATTTTTATTATAGTTTATTTTCCTCTAGAAATGAGCCCAGTTTCCAGTAAGAGATCCTTGAGGCCTTTAAGGCAACATATGTTTGCTGCAACATTAGCTATCTGGTATAAAATACTTTACTGAGGTCATGATTCCTCAGCCATGTAAGTGCAATGGAATATTATACAATCATTAAAAGGATTAAGGCTGAGAGGGACATGGTAAATAGAGTGAAAACAACATTATCAGAAATAGTTTAGATGTTGCAGTGGTATACACCTGTAATCCCAGCTACTCAGGAGGCTGAGGCAAGATCCTGTCTGAGGGAAAAAAAAAAAAGGGGGGGGGAGCTTAGATTATAGCTCAAAGGTAGAGCACTACTGCCCTTTATCTCCACTACTGCAAAAACAAAACTAAACAAAGTATGTACATTATTTCATTTGTATAAACATGTGCTTTTAGAATGGGATTGAAAAACTATTATAAATATAGTTATTCATGGGCTAGGGGTATAGCTCAATGGTAGAGCACAAGTTCCTAGGTTTAGTACCCAACACCAAACAAAATTTATGAAGCAGTTCTACTAAACATAGTTAACTATGAACAGACACATAATCAGCAAACTTAGATCAAGAGGTAGAAATAGAGAAATGGCAACAGTCTCTGCTTTCCAAAGTAGGAGAGACAGATGCTCCTGGGTAATAAGTACAGTGAGAGGTTAGATACGGTAGGATTTTGGATGTTACCCCCCACCCCAACATTTTGTTAAAATATTTAAAATGCTACTGACTCATTTTCTAGAATATTTTATAAGGAAAACTCTCAATATCAATTAAATGCAACCTAGCATAGTGCTTTTCAAATAGCAAGTATTCAATATGTGTTTGCTTCTCTCCAGCTGTGTATGCTGGTAAGAGGAGCTGGTCAAAAGAGCTGGCTGCAACATGAAAGTAAGGAAACAGAGAAGAATCATGCAACCCGCAGACATGAGTTTCTCAGGTGGAGGGTGGGCCTGCTCTGCCACCTCAAGGGTCCTCTTCCACGCTGGAAGGCAAGAGGGCAAGAGAGCGAGTGCACTTGGAACCCCTCTGTTTATTAGGGAAAAGACATTTGATAGAATGTTCCACCCCAATAAGGCAGGGGATACTGTTTCAGCAGGGGTTGCCCAATCCTGTTGGGTACCGCTCAAGCCCAGAGCTGAGACTCTTCCTTGATGAGTGGGGGTAAAGGCCACTTGCTTGGTATAACACATGGTGTGGCGCATGTTGCCAGTCCAATATCTCCTTTACTCAAGGCTTTTGGAGGGGCTTAGCTCATGCACAGGGCGGTCCCTGACATTTGCTTCTTGAATGAAGGAGCATAATGACTGAAGAAGTTCTTAATGAGTGCAGTGTTACCAGCTGGGTTGGAATTTAATAAGAGTAATCCAGAATTTTCTTAATCAGAAGTCTCTTATTGCTGGTATCAGAAACCACCTAAAATGATCATTTCCCAAAATTTATTCGGAGACTTGGTTCTCCAAGTATCTCATTTATTCATAAGACTTAAGTGTTAACATTTGATAACAGTTTTACAACGTACAACTTTTTAATCTTTTTCTTGGTAATTGGTCTTCTGTTCCTTTCTCTCTAGATTTCTCTAAATTTCCTTTCTCAAGACCTTATAAGACATGATCACTTTAAAATTCTCATGTATACAGTATAGTATAATTTAAAAAAAATTTTTTAGTTGTAAATGGACACAGTACCTTTATTTTATTTATTTATTTTTATGTGGTGCTGAGGATTGAAACCAGGACCACTGCACATGTTGCTAGACAAGTGCTCCACCATTGAGCCACAACCCCAACCCCTACAGTATAGAAGTATACTTTGTAAAGTATTTCATATTAACCAAAATCTGCAGTAATAGGAGAATGAATTATTTTATGTAGCCATTAAAATAATTCTACAAACACTTTTCAAGTTGGGAAAATGCCCACAGATAATGTCAGGTTAAAAAAAAAAAAAGGTACGTGTAAGTATTTATATATGAAGACATCTGAAAAAACATGCACCAAGATGTCAGTTGTGGTTATCTCTGGGTAGTGGGTTATAGGCTATTTTAATTTTTTTATACTTTATTTTACAAATTCTCTACAACATTATTCTTTTATGATCAGGCACGATGTTCAGGTATCATTTTTTAAAAAAAGACATTACATGCAGTATGATAAACAGGTTAATGTTGTATGACTCTCATACAGAACAAGAACATGAAATGCAAAATAACTAGAGCTCCTACATTAGTGTAGTTCTGGAACTCTAATTCTTACTCCAGTGCTGCTTGTATTATGTAGTCAGAATTCTATATTATTGGACATTTATGGATAGCCTTTGTGTTTTTGTCTTTCTTATCCATTTTCCTTGCTGTCAGTTTTTGGTTTTTCCTATGAACTTGTTTGTCCAGCTTTGTATTTTCTCATTTGCCTCTTCCCCTAACTTGCTGCTTTAGATTTGTTGTAACAAAAGAATCCAGAAACTGAGGTTAATGGAATGATTTATACGAATCAAGGGCTAATGGAACTTAGTAGAAAGGACCTCGTGGCAATTCAGTTTTTCTGATGCTTGGTAGTTCTTTGGTTTGCTGTTGGGTCCTCAACTATCTCCTCAGTACTGATGTTGGAAGAAGCC